TGTGTTCTGAAGTGTTGCTGGGGCACCGGGAGTGGATGCCTGTGGACGGACGCCGTGGATTATGCGCTACGTTGGTGGGAGGGGAGACTGACATAACTGGCGGGGTTCAGTAAGGCGCTTTTTGCCCACGGACCCTGCAGCCGCAGCAGCCTGAGTGGCGCTTTGCATATAGACGTGTGGATTGTTTCTCTCTTGTGAGGCCTTTTACTGCGTGTCATTCTCCGCTCGGGTACCGTGCCCGTGGCAGCAGCGGCGGCATCAAAAGGGCTGTGTGCGTGGAGCGTCCTTGATTGAGTGCCTGTCTTACTTCTCTGTTCTGTCGATTGATTGTACCGTGTGCCGGCCAAACGGTTGACATGACGTTCTTCTGACGGCGGGGTCCGCGTGACATGATGTTGCGTCGCGTGCTTTGTTGCGGGTGTGTGATTTCCGCAACGGTTTTTGGGCGGTTGACTGTTGGGTCGTTGAGGACGGCGTGGCGACGGGTGTGGATGGACCCGATTGTGTGCCGTGGCTGTTCGTGCGGGGGAGCCGCGGGAAGGAGGAAGGCAGCGGAGCGATGGACTCACGAGGAGTGCGGTGGCGTGCAGCCATGAAGATTGGCGACAGGGAACTCACTGCCGCTGTGAGTTGCCGTGTTTATTATTATTATTTATGATGTGGCTGTGTTGAATATTTTCCGTCTTTTTTGCCGTTTCATTGGTTGACATTTCTTTTTATTTTTTTCAACCAAGAGCAGGAAAAAGTAAATAAATAAATAAAAGAAGAAAAGAGAGAGAGAGGGAGGTGAAGGCGATGCTTTCTCGCTCTGTCTCCGTAAAACCGTTACGTTTACTTTACAGTTCGTTTTTGAATCCATCATGTGGTGCGTCTTATATATGCTGCTACCGCATGATGAGTGCGGACAATTGTACAAGCGTGGATGGTCAGACAGATGGCAAGAAGGCGTCGCCTTTTGCCTCATCGTTTAGTATTGACCCTAAGAAGCTTCCGAACACCATACCCGGTGTGTCACGGGAGGAGTTGGCGGAGCGATTGGAGCGATACCAGCGGGAACTTTCGTACAAGGCCGCGCAGGCTTCAGCTCGTGAGTTGGCAGATGAGATTGAAACGATGCGCCGTGCATTGCCGCCTGAACAGTTTCGACAGTTTCTTCAGGATGTGGATGCAATGGCGGAAAAGAATGAGAAGGAAATCGCGCGGCTTAGCGCCATGTCACCACAGCAGTTGTACCGGTACCATCAGCGTCAGCGGCGGCGAATGCGTCTACAAGCAATTTGGAAGAGTATTGTTCTTTTTGTGTCGATATTTGGTGCCGTATTCTTTTTGTTTTTTCTCATGTTTTTCTTTGGGTAAGAACGAGGGGCGGTTGAAGGAAAAGACGAGAGAGAGAGGGAGAGAGGGAGAGGGAAGGCCGAACGTTGACTGTTTTGTGTTTGTCTTAAAGTTAGGGAGCGGGTGGCTGTATGGACGGTGAAAGGGGTCTGTCAACTGGGACGAAAGTGGACCAAATTACAGTGTGAAGGAGGAGGGAACGAACTTTACTTGTCTGCCTCATGTTCTGCGAGGGTTTTCTTTATTATTATTATTGTGTGTGTGTTTGGTTGGTTGGTTGTGGTGGCGCGTTATGTCGACCTCTCTCTCTCTCTCTTTTTTTTTTTTTACTTGTGTGCTTGTGTTTCGCATCATTGTTGTTTTTTCTCGCAATTATGAGTTTGTGCAGTGACATGTTCTTTTTTTTTTTTTTTTTTTGTTGGGTGGGGAGGGGAGGGGAAGATGACTGGAAGCGATTGTCTTCGACTCTCCGGCTGCGGTTCACACAAAACAACCCCCCGGTGTGCATCGCCGCATCTTTTTATTTTCTTGTTTTTTTTTTTTTACTTTTGTGTGTGTTGGGGTGGTGGCAGCAGCTTTAAAGGTAGCAGCAACGGCAGTGGCGTTCAATAGAAAATAAAAAAAAAAATGCCATGCGACATTCGGCGGGGATTATTTTGTCGGCTGTCGAGGCGTTGGGCCGCCCGTCGTAGCGGAATTGGCCGGCTTTTTGGATGTGTCGCCTGCCATCGTGTGCCTTCATGGCGTGTGTGTTTTCTTCCGCCGGGTGGGTTGCACCCTACCGCCGTTCTCCTGCGGCCGCAGACAATCAAACCGAACCCGGCGCACACCCCGAGCGGGAAATTTGATCGCAGCTTTGAGAAGCTCAGCGGGGAGATTGAGAACCGCATGCCATTTCGTCAGCAACAAATTTTATTTGGTAGTAAATACGACCATAACTTTGGCGAGGAGAATCAAGATGCGATGCGGCAGGCCGCGAAGGATGACGTTTACGGCCGGGAACCCGAAAGGGCGGCGGCACGGCAGGCGCGTAGTTACTTTACCGGGGATGATCTCTCCCCCACAGCCCTGCACGTGAAGTCGCCACGACTGAAAGTCTCACAGCAGCAGCACCGACAGAAATATGACAGGAACATTCTTAAGACGTCACAGGAGTCAGCGGAGTATTACTATCATCGTGAAAGTACATCCGAGCGAAATGTACGGCGTGGTGTGATGACGGCATGTGGTGCAGTAGGACTCGCAGGCACGTGGTGGGGACTACGTCTTCTTTGTCAGTACATGTTGGAGTAGTCATGAGGTCTTTCTTTTCCTCCCTCTCTTTCATTGTATTTGTGTGTGTCTGTGTGCGTGTATCTTTTTTGTTGACGTCGATGTCCCGTTTGTTGTTTTTTTTTTTTTTTTCTCAATCTCTGACTGTCTGTCTGTGTGGGTCAGTGGGTGAGTGGGTCCCCTCTGCGGAAGATGGGACGTCCCCTCCTCCCTCTCGCCCACACACACACACACACACACACACACAATTTCATACTTACTTACATGCACGCATGTGCCACCGCCATGTTTTTGTATGCACACACTCTTTTCTTATGGACTTGTGATTTTCTGTCTTTTTTTTTTTTTCTTTTTTTTTCCTCTCCGTACGTCAATGACGTTTCATGCCCCTGCCACCCACCCTCCTCTCATTGGAGCAAACATCATCAAAGAAAACAAGAAACCCTCTTCCCTCCCGAGGAAAAAAAGAAGGCAAAAAAAAAAGGGAAAATAAAAAACAACAACAAAAAAAAAAAAAAAAAAGGAAAGCGTCAGTGAAGAGTGACAAATAAATAAATAAATAAATAAATATATTTATTTATTATTTATTATTTTTATTTTTCTGTGCATAGAACATACAAAATAAAATAAAACTATATATATATACATACATACAGCCATTCTAGCGCCTCGCAGTCTTTTTTGTTTGTTTGTTTGTTTGGCTCTCGTGTTTATTTATTTAGCCGACGCGGTTTGTGTGTGTGTGCCTCCTTTATTGACGTGGGGAGTACATATATAAATATATAAGGAAACAAGAGGAGTAGTAGTGGTAGTAGAAGAGGAAGGGGAAAGAGGAAGAGGAGGTCATCAACAGCCCCCGCATTCCACATTTTATTTGCAGCCGACGTAAAGAAACATTTATATACACACAAGAGGCAAAGAAGATTACACCGTGGCAGCAGCAGCAGCAGCAGCAGCAGCGTGGTACGGGTGACCAGGCAACGCGTGAGATTCTGAAAAGAGAAGAGACATATACATTTAAATACACACATACAGAGAGAGAGAGAAAGAAAGAAAGAAAGAAAGAAAAAAGGGGTTTTGTGTGTGCAAGTCGTAGCAGACAAAAAAAAGAAAAAAAATATACGCAGGGGGAGAGAGAGAGAGAGAGAGAGCGACCGACAAACAGTGAATTCGCCAGCAATAAAATAATTAACACCATATATTAAATATATATTTATTTATTATATATATATATCTGTAGGGCAAAGAGAGGGGGGCAAAGGTGTCGATTGAAAGCGTGACAAGAGAAGCAAACAACAACAACAACAACAAAAAGAAGTCACTTTGTCAATTGACATCAACAGGGGAAACAAAAACATAGAGGCAAAAAGGAACACACACACAAAAAAAAAAAAAAAAAGAAAAAAAAAGGAAAAATAGGGAGGTGACCAGGCGAGGAGTGTGAAGACAGAGAGAAAGAAAGAGGGTAACACCAATGAGCACCGGGGACGTCAATGGTGCTGGGGATATTCTTGACGGCTTCTTTAGCCATCCATCGCTGCCATTTAATCCTTCAGTGGGAGAAGGTGGCGACTCATTGACGAAAAATGAGCCAAGACAACCGCTACCACAACAGAATTCAGAAATTTTCCAGCCACATACACCGAATAATACTTCATCAGAGGCCACAACGGTAACAAGCACTAGTAGCAGCAGTCAAAGTGCCGTTAAAAGTATCGCTACCTGTTCAGCTGGCGAGAACACTGGTAGCTACTCGCATGCTGGTAGCAATGTGGTAGGTACGCATACCGCCTCTCCTATTTCTAGTACGCCCCCTAATCAGGGGTATATGAACGTGCCTTCCATGTACACCGCCGCGTTGGCGCAAACTACCCATCAGCAAAATAACATGCAACAGCACCCTACTCATCTTTTCTCCGGCGCAGTGGATTCACCAACCACAGCAACAGCAACACAACCTGAGGCCGGTCATACATCCGATGGATCGCCGTCAGCTTTTATGCAAGGCAAAGAAGTGATGCTTGAGCGTCTAATGGCATGTTTAGGCGAATCCAAAGGTATGGCGGCACTTCAGCTTCAGTTAGCGCAGGTTACAGCGCCGTCGTCTCCTGCAGTTGCTGCTTTAAAGCAAGTAATTCAACATTTGGAAGAGGATATTGAGAAACTCCTTCATCTTCGAGACATGCCCACCACTTCTGCTTTTATGAATGGGGCGGCAGTATACCAAAAAATGAGCACCGATGTGCCAAAGGAATCTCTTACCACGTCAGAGGTGCAGGTACCCAATCATCAATACCAACAACAACAAACTGATGTAAGCGTTGCGCCACTGTTTGTTACAAATGCACAAGTAGCGGCAACGGCAACATTTTCTGATCGTGGGATATGGTCACTTTCTGAGTCACGGAATGCCACTATTAAAAATGGAAACATGGATTTGGTGGATATGTCCGGCTCGACGGCAGGAGCAGCATCCATGATGCAACAGCAACCGTATCAACACCTTGAGGTCATCACACCACAATCGGGACAAATGACATCGTATCTTGGCGACACTGGGGCATCCGTGACACAGGCGTATCCGATGTTAAATTCAGCGCTGCTTGCTTCTTGTGATGACGCTCCAGCTATGTATGCCACATCCGGTGAAACGGGATATAATTTTATAGATGCCAATATAGGTAGTCTTGGTTTTGGAGATGCCATACGTGGTCCTCCACGTCGAAATATGGATGAACAACACCCTGTGGAAGGTGAAATAGTGCCAAAGTTTCTTGCCTTTGTAGAGTTTAAGCGACACCGTGTACGTAAGTATGAATGTAACATAGATATTTCCCCGGGACTGTATGTCATGGTAGATGGTGATCGTGGGAAAGATTGTGGGCTTCTTGTGCAGACCATTAAGACGTTACCAGACGGCTCTACCTCTTTTTATTGCATGGATGGTACTCATATCAATGCTGATAAAATCAAGTTGGAGAAGGGGCGTGTACTTGGGGTTGCAACGGCAGAGGAAATTGACTATCTACATCACACCATGCAGCAGGCAGAACGTGTGGCCCTTGAGACCTGCAGAAAGGTATGTGATGACATGGGCATTAAGATTAATCTTCAGGACTGTGAGTATCAATTTGATATGGAAAAGGTAAGTTTCTATTTTAACAGCGAACACAGTGTGGACTTCCGTCCCCTTGTCCGGGAACTTTATCGCCTGTTCCGTGTGCGTATATGGATGGAGAACACAAATCCACATGTGAAGAATACCATGCCTGCAGCAGATCTGGGGGGTATTGGAAACAGTAACATCAACGAGGAAATCACCGCGATGAGCGAAGGTGTTGCAAGTGTGAATTACAGCCTCAGCCAGCATCAACATAAACATGGCGGTGGTGCAGGTTTAACTGCGATAGGTGGAAACAACATGACAGGTGGTAGACGACGGGGGCATCGTCGGTCGTTGCAGAAGAATACCCAAGGAAAGGATGGCAAGAAGTAACGATACTTCTTTTTTTTTCCCTTTACCCCCCCCCCCACCCCCCCCGTGACAGCAGCAAAAGAGGGAGAGTTGAATAAATTCTCCTCCCAAATTGAATTAAAATGAAAAGGAAAACACACAAACAAACAACAAACAACAACCAAAAAAAGAAAAAAAAAAAAACAAACAGAAACGGAAAGAGAACAAAACAACCGACAGAAAAAGCAAGAAAAGGAAACAACAACAAAACGGAGAGGGTGGGGTGGGGGGATTCCCACTGTTGTCGTTCACAACGGTTGGGAGCGTCTTTTTTATTTTTATTTCATTTTTATTTCATTTATTTTACATCCATGCGGGAGGGAAAACGAAAACAGAACAGAAGAGAACCTCAAAAAAAAGAAAAAAAGAAAAAAAAAAAAAGAAACACACACACACACACAGAGAGAGAGAGAGCGGCAAACATTTTACCGACAGAAGACGTCCCTCCCAACCCAAACCGAAGGAAAAAAAAAGAAGAAAATTGTGTGTTTAAGAAAAAAATGAAGGGATTAAAGAAGCGAGGGAGAGAGAGAGAGAGAGAGAGAGAGAGGTGCGGGTCGACGCACACACACACACACAGGCAGACGGACCGAAAGAAAAGGAAAAAAACAAAACAACAAAAAAAGGTATGTTTTCAAGTAAATCAAGAGCAAATAACAGAAGAAGAGAGAAAAGGAGGCTTTTTTTAAAAAAAAAAATATGTGTGTGTTTTTGTTTATTGTTATTTATTTTATTTTATTTTATTTTATTTTATTATTTTATTTTATTATTTTATTTTATTTTATTTTATTTTTATTGAGCAACTCATTGACGGTGTGTGTTACGTTGTGTTTTGTGGGGGAGTGGAGAGAAAAAGGGAGGAGTAGCGGAAGCAACGGCTCTGCAATGTCATGAGGCGACGCTGACATGACTACCTCCTTCCCCCTCCCTCTCCGTCATCCTTTTTTTTTTACTCCCCACCCCTTCGCCTTCTTTTTTTTTTTTTTTTTGGGTTTTATTTCTCTCTCCTTCTCTCTCCGACAGTCTCACATGACACTCACACTTATCTGTAGGTCATTACTTGTGTTTTTGTCGTTGCGGCTGTGCCTTCACACGTAGGCAGCGAAACTGAGGGGAAGGAGATGAGAGTCATGGACGGGGAAGAGTTAAGAGAAAAGAAGGGGGAAAAAGGAGGAGGTAACGACGCGAATGTCATGAGGAGGAAACATATATATATACAAATACATATATATATATATATATATATAGAGAGAGAGAGAGAGGGAGACAGGAGTGGACCTCGTTGTTGTTGGGTGTGTGTGTGTGTGTGGCAAGAGAAGGCAAAGGCACTTTAAAAGTGAGGGCCTAGGGGAATGACGGCAGATGTGTTTCTGTATGTGTGTGTGGGAAGAATATCAGATAATTTACTTTAAGAAAAAAAAAAAAAAAAAGAACCATACTCACACACACAGGGAGAGACAGAGACAGATAGAGAGAGAGAGAAAGAAAGAAAGAAGGGAATATCATCGGCGAAAACAGGCGATGTTGTGGGCTTTTTTTTTTTCTTTTTTTTCCCTTCTCCTTTATTCCTCCCCAATTTGCATGATTCCCAGGAGCATGAGACCCTTCTTTTTTTCTTTTATTTATTTATTGATTGATTGATTTAATTGCGCTGTTTGTTTTTGTTGTTGTTGTTATTTTGTTTGTTTTTGTTTTTTACCTTTTATTATTATTATTATTATTATTATTCCCCCAAGCCTTCTTCTTTTTCTTCTTCTTTATTTTTTTTCCCCCCCCCCCCTTTTCTCCCCGTATTCTTCTTATCTCACACTGTCTGCATTTACGTGTCTCTCTGTGTGCATCTTTGTGAGTGTGTGTGTGTGTGTGTAGGGAGAGGGTGTCTGTAGAGGCAAGGGTAGGCGACACCCCACATTGGGCCTCTGTCTCATTGTGTTGTTGGTGTTGCGTTTGCTCTTTCCTTCATTGTATATTTATTCACTTTGTTCCCCTTCCCCTTTATTTCATTCAGGGAAATAAGAACGAAGAAAAAAAAAAAACAGTAGTAATCTATACACAAATACATTCACATAAATAAATTAAAAAAGCGGGGTGGGTGAGGGGTCAAGAGGAGAAAAAAAAAGGTTGTTTTTAGTATTTTTATTTATTATTATTGTTATTGCTTCCCTTCCCCGCTACACACAGAAAACAGCAACAATAATAACAGCAACAGGAAAGAAAAAAAAGAAAAAGAAAAATAGAAAAAAAAAAGGGTGTGGGGGGGGAGGGGGGAGAGTACATCAAGGCGGTGGGTGTGTTGGTGTGACGGACGCTTATGTTACGCCTCAGTGTGTCTTTCTTTGGGTTAAAGCGAAAGAACTCCACGCATGTGCACAAGTTTCTTGAAGGATGTCCCCTTCCAGAGACGCTTGTGGATGACCTTGCGGGAGCGAACTTAAAGTCGTCTACGCCGTTCTTCAGCACGATGCCACGTTACATTGTGGCGAAGGAAAATCGTCTGTCAACGTTGTTTTTTCATCATGCACTTTATCCTGCGGGAGGGGCGCGGCGACCGTACCGTGTGGTGGTGGTCCGCGGTGGTCGTGGGGTGCGGAGTCAACCCGGCGTGGCCGTAACCCTCTCCAAAAGTGCTTTTGAGGAGAACTCATGTCGTCTTTATCGAGATCCGGCACGGCGTCCTTTTTTCTACTCAAGGCCACCTGCTCTGGCACCGTCTCGTTTCAGCCACGAAATGAGGAACAAGGATGAGGGAAAAAACGAGGCGTCCGTCAACTCCAGCAATGTGACTGGTCAAGAAAGAGGCATGACGGCAAAGTCGTCGCGTTCTACCGAAGACAGCCTGCTAGCGCCCCTATGTGGGGTTATTGAAAGTCACTTTCTGGCACTCTTAAAGCAACACGCGATAGAGGAAGGTGGTGGGAACGAGATGACAGCCGACCCTAAAAGAGCAAGAGAAGGTACAGGAAAAACAATCGAGGAGGAACTGGCGACCTTGTTGAGTGGTGGTCACGGTGGTATAATGACGGCGGAGGAGGAAAGGGATACGACGGTCTTAAGCCCCCCCTGTAGTGATCTTGTGGGAAAGCTGCTGCGGAATGTTGCGTCGCTTCCTTTTTCCTTCT